GGGTTTCTACTTTTATTAACTAAATTAATGATGGAATTTTTATTCTAAAATCTGCTCTTGCCTTATCAAGCTAATTAATATGGAAACATTTAATTAACTTTTTATTGAGAAAATATTTTACGCCGGAAGGCTTATTTATTCAAGAACAGTTTAGGGTAATCACGAATCTAGATATAGATGAGTGGTAGTAGAAATGCGATTTTTCCAAATATTAATTTAATTTATTTTACTTAACCCAAATGATGTCCTGGCCCTAGGTCCAGCCTTTGCTTATACTATGTGAATAAATTTTCTTTTCTTTTTATTCTCTCTTTTTAATTATCGCACCGAGAAGACTTCATAAACCAATCTAAACTTTCGCCTAACTAGAGAAGTTGAATTAATCCCCTTCGTCCACTGCTCTAGAGAACGACAACTCGGGGATAAAACTAACCCTTTACTGGGAAGGTTTATACTCCAAGAATTACTAAGATCAAATTGGCGCCGTTGCCGGGGAGTGGCACGGTATTAATTTAATTTCTTCTAGTTAGCTTAGGTGAGGATCGGTTAGGTCGATTTTCTCACTTCTTTTTACACCATCCACCCATAGTAATTATTATGGATAACTCCAATAATTATTATGGTCCGTCTTCTTACTATCAACCACCAAACCGCCCTCCGTATCAATCTCCGCAAACCTACTACCCACATCAAAACTATTTTGATGATGACTATCCAGTCAACAATAGGTGTGGCTACTATCCAAACCATGATGGACCCCCTTATCAATCCCAACCCAGTGATTATGGAAATTCTCCTTATAACGGTAGGGATTACTATGAAACTCATGGAGATCAAGATGACTATGACCAATATGGGCCAATGTACGATGACCAACCAAGTCCACTTGTCGAAGAAATCCTTAGACTAGAACAGAAAATTTTATATCTCGACGAACTCCTATTCGCTTAAGGCTCTTGGTACGAACCATCTTATTGCCGTGACTACACCTTGTGCGCTGAGGAACAAATTGAAGAAAACAAGGAAGCAGTCCGGGAGAGAGCAAGACTTCTAGAAGTGGTTCGACGAAGAAAGGCGTTCGACAGGAGAATGGACTTGATGGAGAAACAGCTAGAGATGACTCTTAAGAAATTAGAAAGTCCTATCAACTCTCAAAAGAGGGAAAGGGAACTGGGACTCGAGACCATTCTTGAACCAGTATGTGCACCTAGGCTAACACCACCACAACAACCTGAGAGCATGCATAATAACTCTCGCTAGGGCTACTGTGGTGATGTTGCCTAAATGCCCTACTAACCAAGTCCCCTCCAGCATAGTCGCACATGAGGTGGAACCAACTGAGGGACCTGACTCAGAACCACCTCTGCAATCCCAGTCGAAGAGAAGGATGAGGAAGTTGTCTTAGAGGCAACCAACTCACTTCTTCCTACCTATGTTGAAGACACACCTTCAGAGGATCCTGTTCTGGAGGAAAACGAGCCTAATACTTACTCCCAAGATAAGAACGATTCTGAAGAGGTAGCTATGGATGATGTAGTTCTTCCCTTAGAAGAACCAACTCTATTTATAAAAACCTCTGCGTCCAATTCATCACCAGAGGACTCTGACCAAAGCTTCCTTGACTCTCTACTAGACGGGTATGACGATGTCTGCCCGAAGGATAGTTGGAGTCAAATGAGTTGGGATGACCTTCTGTTGAGTGATGTTGAAGACTCACCCATAAGGGAAGATAAAGTCATAGTCATAGAGCCACACAAGACTAGTCAACCCATTGAGGACAACGAAGAAACCCATTCAGCAATTGAGGCCAATGATGTGGATCTTTGGAGGAGACCTCCGCCACCACCCATTAATCAACAGTCTCCTCCATTCATCCTGCTGCCACCTAGCCGCAGGGAAGAGTCAAGGATCCTAGACCTTGACTATGCATATTATCGTATAAGGTGGCATCAGAAAAGAGTCTGTAGGGTCAAACTCTACGACGCTTGGATCGGAAAGTTGCGGAAAAAGTGGCTAAAGCGTCGAGCTACGGACGTTAAAGAAGTGCTAAACGAGAGGCAACCCGTCATTTAAAAACACAAAAATATTTACATTTTACTTGCTTTATTATTTGTACTTGCCGCACCAGTTCTGGGGGCAAGATTTTATTTGTTTGCTTTTTCTTATTTCTTTGCAGATGGATGTTGCATGGATGGTGCCGCACGGTGATCGACGCACGCTGCAGGATATGGATGCTCTTCCGTTCACGTCAGAGGAGGCAAGGAAGAAGTTCATGGTGTGGGGAAACTCGAAGTCGCTCCAGCCACCTCTGGTACTAGACCCTGCTCACCTAGACCCGATTGGGCACTCACAAGCGATTGACGGTTTCCTCTACGACCCGAAGTGGAGAGTCTTGCTATTCTTGCATGCACCATCCCGCCTTGAGCTCACCGTCGAGTTTCTCTGTTCCCTTCGCTTCTTCAATGATGGTGAAGAAGCCAAAGCACCAGCTGAAGTCACCTCCTCTACTAAGGTGTTCTTCACGCTGACAGGAAGACGACTCAAGCTTTCGGTGGCAGATTTAGGATGGGTGCTGGGCTTGTACACTCTTGACGAGACGAGGAGCAAGGACTTTGCCGACCTGCCGAATGATTTGGATGCAGAGTTCAATGCTAGGAAGTTTTGGCACGCGAATGGTCAAGGGATGTTCCATAGTGGCGCAAGTTAGTCGAGATATTGGGCACGACCAGTGTGGAGGATCTTGCACCATGCTCTGGTGCACAGCTATTTTGGGCGATCCCACTCTCACAATGCGGTGCACAAGTCTGATTTGCTCTTCTTATGGAGTTTGCATGCGCAGGTCCCAGTCAACGTGGCAACGTTTGTAGCTCGCTTCCTGTTTGGGCAGTCTATCACTGAGCAGGAAGGCGTTCTGTGTGGGCCCATGGTGACATTGTTGGCGCGCGGGCTATATATGGCAGTTGCTGATGTGATTCCAGAGTCCATCAGCATGTTCAGGCCACCACCGGGTTACTTGGCGCAGATTGCCTTCAACAGAGATGACGAGGAGGTGCGCCCAAAGAAGCAGCGGTCCATCCTGATGACTCTCCGCGAGCTCTCGCAGGCTGTGTTTGCTTTTCAGGACTCCGTGGACTCCTGCCTGAGGGGTATCGAGACCATTCTCGAGACCCAGCAGTGGCAGGTTGAGGCAATCATGGAGCATGTCCTAGAGCTTAAGGGGAAGGAGGCGCAGGAGCCCAAGGCCAAGGAAGAAGCCAAGCCGAAGAAACGCCAAGGATTGTGAGATCCCTATTTTACCTTAATTTTCTCTTACTTAGTCATGTTTGGTTATTTGTTTGAATTGTTCATTAAGAATTTATTTTTGTGATTGTTAAAACATTTTTTTAAGTAATTTTATTCATTGATTGCATTGTTTTATGGCATGCTTATGTTTTATTTCAATCAGCATAGTGAATCCTCCAAGTGTGAGGAAAATTTAGTAATTGCATGTGAGAACACTTCAACCATTAACTCTGTCTTCAATCCACTTTTTAACCACGAGGGCATGGTTCCGTTTAAGTGTGAGGAGGAAGAGTTACTAGTTGAAATGATCTCTTTAGAATTTGTTTTGCCTATACATGTGTTGAGAAAAGATTTTATAAAATTGTCATCAACTTTATTTGTCTAATTAAATAATTTTTAGTATCACCCATAAAAATTGGAAATTTTTAAATTTTTTGTCAAACTTCTATTCTTATTCTAACCTTATGGGAATAGTTTCTGAAAACTATCTTGGAATAAATTCAAATTTACTAAGAGTTTTAAGATCAAATAATTTTTATTTTGCTTTATTGGAAACATTTGCTTCTAAAAAGATTTCTTTTCAAAATGTAAAAGGATTTAAAAATAATAATAAAAATAAAAATAAAAAATAATACTAGTACATATTTCTCTGTCACCAATAATTAAAGTACCAATTGAGGTTGCGCTTAAGTGACGAATTGGAAAATTCTATCTCCATAAAAGGAGCTCTGCTTCTCCCGCTAATCGTACAAGTCGAGGGAGCAAGTATATATAGAATAAACCCTCAATCTCCGTAGTAAATATGCATGGGTGGCATGACAAAAAATTATGAATTAAAAAAAGTAAACCTTTACATTTTGGGAATTACTCTTAAAAGAGCATGTTTTCTAATTTAAGCCATTAAAAACTTTTTGATCTTTAAACTGCTTGTAAAAATGTATTTATCCCAAGATAGTTTGAGGAAATTCGATTGTTTAGATTAGTTTAAAAATACTATTTTGAAAAAAATGCTTTTACATTACTAACAATATGGGTGGTAGTCTAGAAGTTTATTTATTTTTACAAAAGAGTTGATGACTAATTTATTTTCCTTTTCCCTTCATAATGCATAGTTAAAACATTTTCTCTTGGTTACTATGTAGTCCTTACACTTGCATTATTCAATGTGTTGCTTGAGGGCAAGTTAAGTGTGAGGAATTTGATAAGTCCGTTTCGTTCTGATCATTTTTATCATATTTTAGCGTTATTGCACGTAAATAATGTTTAATCATTTCATAAATAGTGCATCTCATGAATAAAATACTTTAATTTGTTCTAAAGTCATAAAAAAGAGTTCTTGAGGAAAATTAGTGCAAATCATCCTTTTTATCATTAAATATATGAGAAAAAGGTAAAATAGTCAACTCCGGGTCGAGAACGGACCCTTACAAGGTCAAAATGAGCATCCCGGGCCAAAAAGGGACGAATTGGGCCCAAAATCTCGCCTAGGTCACATGACCTGGTGCTTGCGCCGAAAGGAACAAAAGCCGAGGCGTCCAGGTCGGACGCCCGGAGACCTGGACGCCCTGATTTATGGACGGCCGGGCCAACGTGCGCTCCAAGCAGGCCACGTGGCGGACGCGAAGCGGCTAACCTGCCGAGGCGTCCGGATCTTGGACGCCTGGCACGGACGCCCGGGGTTGGACGCCCCGGGTCCGTATCTATAAAAGGCACGCGCCTGTTCTCTGAAAAGACATTCCAGAGCAGCTTTTCTGCACCCTTTTTCGGGTTTATACCCCAATTTCGAAATATCCCCTTAAATAATATTAGTTTAGGATTATTTTATAGAGAATTCTGGAGCCATTGTCGCCCAGATCTCTTTTCAAGACTCTGAGCTGTTATTCTGCGTATTCGGAAACGGTAAGTAAACTTTATTTTAATTTAATGCTTTCATTCTAGTTTATTATTTCCATAGTATGAGTTAGGGTTCGGACCCTAAGGGTACGGACTAGTTTGGGTTTCTACTTTTATTAACTAAATTAATG